TTTTTAACTTAGTAAACTTTAAGGCACAAATTAAGGAATATTAATTAGTATTAATAAATATAAAAACTATTGTTAGTTTTACCACTAGTATCACATGTATCATTTTAATTTTAATTGGATAATTATTTAAATAAAAGTTAACTTTTTTTTAGTACTAATTAATATAAAAAATGTATAATAATTATATTCTTAAAACACAAATTAAAAAAGCCTTTACTTTATAAATATGAGAAAAAAAAATTAAGATATTGTAGCATTAAAAATATTAAAATGCTTAATTATATACGTCATAGTCATTAAATGTGTGGATATAATGTAAATTTTAAATTTATCACATCTATTATATAACTATTATTAAATATTTTAACATTAAAAAAGTCATAATAACCTAATTTTCTCTATTTTTAAGGGCGGTGCTATAGAGACAATCTTTTTATATCACATTTTGATACAATTTTCACATGTCATTAAATGAGTGAATGTATTCAATATCACAAATCTCACATAAATTAAAAGAACTAATTATTTAAATAATACGTCAAATTATACCAAGAATAAAAGAAAAAAATATCTCAAAATCATTTCTAGAAGCGTAGAAGGTAAATTATTCCACTAGCTAGACCTGTTTTCAATTTGGTTTGCCTACCTTTAGAACTCCAACGTTTGATTCACTGAATTTAAATTCCGTTAGTCATCCGTCGCCATCTGTGGAAAATGGCAAAGGGCTACTTTAACTTTCTGGATGAATCTGGCTTGAACGTTCAAACTCCACATATTCTCTGTAATTCCCCACCCCTACATCAACATGTACCCTAATTTCTTGTTGCTTAATGACTCATGTTTTAAGCCTAAGGTCGAGATTAATGACTTTCTAAATTTTGAGGTCAACTCAAGCCGAGTAGTTTTAAAGGGTTTTCGTTTAGTTGGTTGAATGATCATTTCTTTTTTTTTTTAACATTGAATGATCATTTCTTTGTTTAAATCTTTATATATATAAGGGGTTAGTGTTTGATCGTCTTACTTCTAAAAAATTAAGAAAAAAAAAACATTTTAATTTATACTTTAAAAATAAAATATTTTAATTTTTTTCAATAAATATTTATTAAAATAACGAATAATATCTCTCATAATTTTTAAGAGGTAAGTTAGATAAATATTATTTCTATATATATATTTACACACTTTGTGCCAGACATCAGTTGTATATAGTTTCTCCCTTACATTCCAATTAAGTGGGTTGAATTTCTTTGAAAATTGATGAGACTAATGGTATAGCCATCCATCCGTTATTTCTTGTCCTTCAGTTCATACAATATTTGCCAAATTTTTGCATACCATTCACATTTCACAATCACCCTTTAATTTAACACCTTTCAAAATACCAAGATTTTCATACCCTCTTCGGCTCCTTACCATTTTAAGTATTTATTATTAAAAAAAAAGTATTTATTATTAAAGTATTTTTGGATCAACTTTTGTATATGTTAAAATTTATTGCTTCTTAAGTAGACCTGGTAAACGGGCGGGTTGGGTCAGGTTAGGGTCGGGTCAGAACGGGTAACAGGTCAAAATGGGTTGAGTTAAAACGGGTCACGGGTCAATGAAGGCAAACCCTAACCCGCCCATCACGGGTCACGGGTCAACTCGCGGATTGACCAAATTAATTTTTTTTTCTCTATAATTTGCACCTATTATCATTCAAAGAAAATTATTCAAAAGATTTAAAAAAAAATTCAACATCTTATAAAAATAATTTTTTTTATTAATTCAATATATACATATTTATAATTCTTTAGAATCACCTTTTTTATTTTCCTTTAAAGAACAACACTAATCAAATTTAAGAACACAATACTTATAAATCTCAATAGCCAAAAAACAAAAAAAAAAAAGCAGTAGTAGCATGACAACCAAAAAACACAAACCACATTGGAACATATTTGTTTTGGTCATTGCTTTCAAAGAATAATCAATTGAATGCATCTAAGTAAGTAAAGGAGAAAATCAAGTAAAATTTTTACTTGGAATGGAAAAAAAACTAAAAAGCATAAATAAGTAAACAATTTATCTTGAAGTATTTAGAGAGAAAAGTTAGTGACAAAAAGAGCACTTGCTGGAGTCATAGGAGAAAAAAAGAAAAGGTTGAGTGGACGCAACGATGACTTGATAAGACTAAGATTTAAATTTGAAATAATGTTAAAAGACTAAAGAGAAAATGTGGAGTCGAAGTTTGAAAGTCAAAGACTGTATGAACTATAGAGGTTGAAGAATATAAGAAGAGTTTGAAGTTTGAAGAGTTAGAGTCTTCGAGAGTATTAGGGCAAGCAAGAATAGGAAAAGTCAAAAGGTGAGTTATGAGTGGAGTGGAATTATTTTTACTTTTAGAAGATGATGAGTCAAGAGAATCAATTAGTTAATTAGGGAATATTAATCAATTATTAGAGGTTAGGTGGGATTGGGAATTGGAAATTGGAAAACAAAATAAATAACTAATAAATTAAAAAATTTTATATTTTTAAACGAGTAAACGGGTTAAACCCGTTAACCAGATGGGTCAATTCGTTATTGACCCGTGACCCGTTGGGTTCTCCTAACGGGTCATTAACGGGTCACATGTCATAAATATATGACCCTAACCCGTTTTAAACGGGTAGGTAATGGACAGATTAACAGGTTGAGTAAAAAATTATCAAGTTGAGTAAAAAATTATCAGGTCTATTCTTAAGTGATATTGTTGACACGTTTATCATATTAATTTAGTATATTTTAAAAAATTAATTTTTTAAAAAAATTTAAAATTTAAATTTAATATATAAAATAATATTTATTTATTAACAAATACAATTTATGGGATTAGATGTATACCTTTACCTGGACGTTTCTAACAACACTTGCCAAAACTACAAGCTTCCCATTTCCGTAACAGATTTCCCAAACACTAATCCCATTAAAAAATTAGTATTACCCTATTTTAAATCACTGCAACTTTTTTTTTTTTCCTCAATTAAAGTATTGATCATTATTTAAGGAGATGCTAAGGTAAAGGCTTTTGGGAACTTCCTTTCCCTTTTTTTTTTTTTTTTTATAACAAAAGTAACAATTAGATTAATAAGGTTAATAAAGTTAATATTACTTATAAAAGATATTAAATCTAGATAAAAAAATGTAATCCATCTACTAACCTTTTAAACAGCAGTAACCACTAACCACCATCATACTACACACGAAGAAATGCCTTCCTTCCCCTTTTTTGAGTATGCAAGACAAGTAACCCATGGTTGCACTTTTGTTGCGCTGTCATTAAATATTACTATTTTAATACTTATTTATTATTATAAGAGAATCTTAGTTGGTGCGGCGAATTGAAATGCAAAATAAAAGTAATTAAATACAAAAAAAACTTTTGAATATTAAAAGATTTATTTATTTTTTATTTAATAATTTTAATTATATAATATAATATAAATTAAGCTGTATAATAATTTTTTATTATTACAAATGGTTGGAATGCACTGCCCAATTTTATGATATTTGTGTATTATGATGGAACGAAAATATTGGTGGTTGTTATTATATTAATATTTTTCATGTTTCTTAAAGATACTCCTTGTTATATAAATTTTTTATTAATAAAAAATTTAAATACTTATTTGACCTAACTTCTAAAAGTACAATTTAAAATAAAAATAAAAACTTAAAGAGCTCCATGGTTTTTTTAATAAAAGTAGTAAAAAATTTTAAATTTTAAATATAAAAAATCTCATATTTTATAATTTAAATTATATTAAATTATAAAATAATTAAAATCACTAAATAAAAGAAAAACTCTAATATTAAGAAATCTTCCATAATTTAATAGTTAATAATGTGTAATATAATATAATTTAAATTATATAATATTTTTTATAAAAAAATAATTAAAATTTTATATAAATAAATAATATATATAATTTATATATAAATAAATTACAATTCCTATAAAAACTTACAGCTGTTCTAAACAGCCTCAAGGAATTCTGTGGACTGGAAATTACCATGAATCTGTCCAAAGGCCAATGTCCTTTCCTCCTCTGGGAAACTACCACAGGCAATTACGCATACAGAAACAAATTACTGCAGATTATAGAAATAGGTCGACATTCCAAATAGGTAGCAGAACCGAACACACCACGTTCTATTACATCACGTTGCTTAATTCTTTCCTTCTCAAACTCATACAAGCCAAACACAACAAACAATTATTATTTTATTCATTTCCTAGGATTCATTTTTCTTCATCATCATCTTCCCTAAAAATCCTTCATCAACTTTCGAACCTGTTCCAGTGTCACGAACAGTACCACCGTGAACGGCCCCTGCCTCGAAATCGTTGGTATGAAACCCTTGTACAGCGCCATCGGACCCTCTGCCCTCACTGTCTTTATCGCGCAGTCCAGGGCCCCTGCGTACGGTGGCTTCTCGCCGGGCTCCACGTTCATGTTCATCACCCGTGTCTTAATCACGTCCACAGGGTTTGATGCCACCGCGGCCACAAACCCAGCGGCGAAGCTCGCTGTCACGTGGGTCCCCAGCCCGTCCTTCATAACGCCCTTTTCCAGGATCATTTCCTTGAACTGGTCGTAGGATGCCAGCTGGGACGCCGTCACCAACATTGCACGGTTTACCGTCAGCGACGACCCGCGCCACAGGGAGGTGATGCCTTCCTGCTTGCTCATCCGAGTGATGGCGTCTATTACGCTTGTGTAGTTGCGGCGCTGGGCTGGAGGGAGCCGGCCGTCGGCTTGCATTCGGACCATTGCCACATCAGCCGGGTTCCCAACAGCCGCGCCGATTGCTCCGGCGATTAGACCCGCAGCGATCTTGCGCCCGAGAGGCATGGTACGGGCCTCCGGATCGGTCCATTTCTGCTTGAGGATGTCGTACAGACCCATACGGGTGGTAGAGTAGAGAGTCTGGCGAAGAACGGTGGCAGAAACCCCAGAAAAGAGCGCGGCCACGCCCTCCGTCTGAACAATACGAACCCCAGTTGCGATCGGCCCCACACGCACCGGCTGTGGCACGTGGATGGCAGAGGACGGCGCAGCAGCAGCACCGCCAGTGGTTTGAAAGGCAAGCGAAGGGCGAAGAGTCTGAACAGCATGGTTCGGCACCTGGGTCTCCCCCTGCAGCTGCATTCGAACTTTGATCAGATCAAGGGGGTGAGTGGTGCATCCAGCCACAATAGATGCAATCCCTCCTTCAACAAAACCTTTAATACCCATGATTTGCCCTCAAAATTATCACAAAAGATGGAATCTTTTTCCTTCAAACTTGAACGAATCAAGCAAATCCCAGATGGGTTTGGGGTAAAAATTAAAACAGAAAAAGAGAAATTAATTACTAAGACCAATTCGAATTGGGGTTCATCTCACTGGAAACCAGGAGATGAGAATGGAGACCGAAAGCTATTGAAGAAGAATGAGGAACGCAAGACCTTTGAGACATATGCTAGTGGAAAAGAAAGGGAATGAATTGATGATGGATTGAGGGGTGGGGAAAGGGAGGAGACGAATTTATAGCTGCGTGGATCGGTGGTGGGAAAGAGGGTGGAAATTAGGTGCTTACGCGAGATGGGAATGGTATTAGAAAATGGGTGTGGTGTTTTTTGTTGACGCGTTTGTGCCTTTGTGGGGACCCTGTTTGGGTGTTTCCATTTCAATTCTCTTGCCTCTACCGCACATCGTGGCTCTTTTATACGCCCAAGGATCTCGGAGTAGGGCCCCTGGAGTGGAAGTCCCTAACGGAGGGCGAAGACCGGTGCAGCGCAAGTCCTAAAATGTGCAATGTTTACGGAAGGACTTGGTTTTTTTTTTTTTTTAACATGTTGGAATTGTTTACATATTAATGAGAAAAAGGGAGAAAAAATTTTGTAGAACTCAAACACATGATTCACAATAAATGAACAATTCTAATTCTGGATTCATACCACTAATACCACTAAATTAAAGCGAACCGTTGGGAAGAACTTGGTTTAATGGGGTTATAATTATCAATAATAACATTATGATTATTAAAATTATAAAATATTATTTTTAAAAATATTGATTACTTTTATTTAATATAATTAATAAAAAATAATTAATAATTAATATTTATTAATTAAAAAATTAAAATTAATTAATTAATAGATATTTTTTAGATACCATTTATGAAAAAACTAATAATTTGATGGCATTAACCATATTAATAGTGGCAATTATAAAAATGACTAATAATTATAATTATTAACTAATAATTGAAAAAATAATTAATATTTATTAATCAATAAATTAAAATCAATTAGCAAATAGTTATTTTTAAATATTGTTTGTGAAAAAACTAAAATTTTAACAATATTAACAACATTAATAGTGGCAATAATTACACCCTTTACATAAAATAAGTGTGTATTTGAGTATAGTTTTATAAATAGAAATGATGTTTATATTGTAGTATCGTATAATTATAAATTTATAATAATAATATAGTATTAAATGAATTGATACATATAAAATTATATATGATTTTTAAATAAAAAAGATTAATGATATAATGTCATGTAATAATTATAAATTTATAATGTCACATGATATTTTTATATCATAAAATTATATTAAATAAATTAATAATGAAAAAAGTAATAAGTTTTAAAATTTTGGTTATAAAAGCTCAATTTCGAAGGCTACATAACTATAAACTTTGAAATTTTCAGAAAGAAATTGCTTTCTGAAAAATAGTATTGAGATTTTTTTTTAACATGGAGAAATTAGGGGAAAGGGCTTCTTTTTTTTTTTATATTATTATAGGGGTAATTTTTTTATATTATTTTTTTAAACAACTTTCATATGTCATTAAATAAGTAGATGCATTTAATATTATGAGTTTTACATAAATTAAAAGAATCAATTATTTAAATAATATTTCATGTTATATAAAAATATGATACAAAAAGATTATTTAAAAAAAAAAATTTTTTCTTTTGACGGAAGGGGAAAGGGCTTTGTTTGCAATAGGAGTAAACATATCCTGCACGTAATCAAAACAGAAACAGCCAAGGAAACAGCCAAGGCTACAGGTGCAGCGTATTGAGATTTTGAGTTCGAAGTCTTCGAGTGTTTAGTTTTTTGTTATTTTTTTTCTTTTTAGTGGTGATTTAAATTGGGTTTTTAGTCAAGTCAAAAGGGGGCTTGCTTGCTAGGACCGAGTAATGTGTAATCTTTCAAATTTGCCTTTCAGACGTTTTCCTGAGCTATTTTGCTGGGAGTATTCTTATTTAGTTAAAGAAATGGAAGAAGAAAATTCCATACCAATTCAAAGTTTTTTTTTTTAATTAGCCATATACCAATTCAAATCTAAGTTTAACTTTGAAACTCAAATGCTTAATATCTTTAAAATATTCTCCTTTCATGGACAATAATTTACGTTTAGTTTTTGCAATATTTGAAATTATTCTCTTTTTTAAAGACACTTTTATATTAACTTGATATATTTAAGAGAATTAATTTTATTAAATGTTGATCTAAAGACTTAAATCCATGTTTTATATTGGTTCCAACTTTTCTATCATATTTTGTTGGTGGTAATAGCTATTCTTTGTTTAAACTATGGAGATAAGTTAAATTTGATAAATTTTCTCTAGAAAATTCATTAAAGTTGATAATTTTTTAATAAACTAACCACTTGTCTAGTTTAAGAAAAACCGATAAAAGGGGGAGAGATTTGTTAATTAGACTAAAATACAAGAGAAATTAAAGTAAAATAAAAGAAAAACACCTCCCTACCATCTAGATTTGGTAATTTTTTAC